TTACAATATTGCGTTACTTCCTAAAAAAGTAACTAATTACGTTACTTAGTTACTTTTTATTGAAAGTAATGCGTTACGTTATTTTTTGTGTTACTTTTTAAATCTGGGCTGGGCTTGCTTGTTTGCTTTTAATATAAAAAGTTCTATTTTTGGCAAATATAAAAGCCCTTTCACACCAAAAGCCTCAGGCTGAAGGAAATGCAAATTCACGTCTGTACAGTAGAACACAGAAGAAGAAAGTTCAACACTCTTCAGCAATAAAAAAAGAAGAAGAAATGTTAGTTTATCTTGTGTAATTTTTGCTTAGTATGGTTGAATTGGATCACTGAAGGTCAGCAGCAAATAAATGGGATTAAATACATAAAGGATATTTGTATTATTTAACATATTTAATTATTGCAGCTTTGAGTCATATTCTGAGTTGCTTTTAACTGTTTTTATTAATTTTGAGGAAAACTAAATCTGATTTTTTTTTTGTGAGTGAGTGAGATGAATTAATGCATGTTCACATTTATTCTAGAACTAAAGTAACATCTTACTCCCGATTTCTCGCAACAAGGGGACAGGAGAGCTTTCAATCAATAAATGGGAAAAAAATTAACTGGCGTTACTTATTTGAAAAAGTAACTCCGATATTTTCTTGTAAATTAAAAAGTAATGCGTTACGTTACTAGTTACTTGAAAAAAAGTAATCTGATTACGTAACTCGCGTTACTTGTAATGCGTTACCCCCAAAACTGATCAGAAACCGGTTGAGAATCATAAAAAAAAAAAAAGTGCTGAAGGATGTTTTGAGCTTGAGAAGAAACCCTAATTAGGTATGGACCAGAAACACAGGTGTTTGCAAACAAAGTATTAAATTGCAACTAACGGCATAAATGGCATCGTAGTGAAGCTTTTCGTTTTTAATAAAGGAAGCAGTTTATATGCAGGCTCAGTCATAACGTTTATCTTTCTCTGATATCTTTTGTGTAACCACAGTGGTTTTTACTTCATAACTCGCAATTTAGAAAGTCTATAACGCAAGAGCCTACTGATACCATGTTGAAGAAGTGCTTAGGTCAGGAAATAATATTAATAAATGTCCGCTAAGAAAGTCCTGTTTGAGAGTCGTATTACCGTGAGAAGCGTCTCGAGCTCTGTCAGGTAGATCTCCTCACTGATCAGAACCCCTTTCAGAACCACTGTTCTCTTCTGAAGCAGGTCATCTGGGCTCTCGGTTGTCTGGAAAAACATTACAACATTGTCTGAATATAACTGAATGGTGACCATGCTGAAGATTCACACCACACAGATAATAGCAACTAACTAGGAGATAACATATTAACAATTATACACATATTAACAAGTATTATTGATCTTATAATGCTGATATACCCCAGCGACAGTAGCAATAACAGCATACAGGCAAGAACTCACTGATAGATCATTCAGATCAGATTTGAATTAAATATTCATTTTATGTAAACATTCTGTGCACTGCAGTCTTACTGGAGTGGATGGCAAACATGGCTCAGTTTGCAAAGAGCTTTGAGAAACCCACTCTGTCTCCTCAATGAACACATCCTGTAGTAAGTCAGAAACCATAATCTCATCTTCAGTCACTGTCAGAAAAACACAACACAATATATAGCGCTACATAAGAGAGTATTAGATGACCAATGGCAGTTCAAAACTAAGTACTGGTTATTAGTTTTTAAATGAATTACTATGTTGAAGTAAACAACCCAGACAAATATTTTAAGGAAATGTGAATTTGGGTTGAACGGTCTCACCGGGCGAGATGCCATAGGCCTTCAGATAGTCCAGTGCTTCTGTGTAGAGCTCCATCAGCAGCAGCAGAGAGCTGTCCAGAGTCACGGCATGCAGCTCTACAGTTGTGAAGTGAATCCTCTCACTTTCACACTGACTGTTGTTTGTGGTTACCAAGCTCATGTTCTTCCTGCTTCTCAGAAAGTGCAATAAGATATAGGCGGGGGAAGTAAGATGTTCATTAAAAAAGAAATAATAGTCACATTGACAATGACAATTAAGACAGGAAGAAGTACTGTCTGCTCACCTGCTTTAAAAAAGGGAAACATGGTAATCTAATATCCAAGCACCCTGGGCAAATGATGAAACTGTTATATATTCATTTTACAACAATCACAATTTAAATATATTATATACAAACATAATACATTTAAATATATTTATTAGACAAAGAGGCAGTTTATATATAATTAGCAACGTCATATGACCCCTTTAAAGCATGTTCCTTTTTTCTGTGGAACATAAGAATAAGATATTTTAAAGAATGTTGGTAACCAAACACTTTTGGTTTCCATTGTTTTCAATTGTATGGACCAAAAACTTTTTTTTTTAAACGATAGAATTAAAAAAAGGGGCCATGTGACAATGAAGTTAATAATAAGATAAAATAATAATAAAAAAGGAAATAAATTCATTTACTCAAGCAACAAAAGTGTGGCCTTTCAATGTAAGATCCAAAAGGCTCCAGTATTTAACTCTTATGCCTTTGCCAAGTGCTCATATTATCTGTATTTTTAATGGTTGATATGTTATTTTTATGTCACACGGAAACGACGTGCACTAAACTATGATGCAGTGTTTCCTCTATATTTATTTGCAATTCAAAGGGGGCACTGGGGTATGTACCAACTGATGCTTCATGCTCACCTGATTCTAGCTGTGGTTTGTAGTTTGAACCAAAAGTAATTGAATGCCTTTGTATGTGGGATATTCATTTGATTTTCATACTTTCCTGTATGATGTCAGATAGGATCAAATTTCCTGCTTCCTTTTCAAATGGAGGATGCTGCCCATTTCCATTTCTAACAGTGGAGCAGCTTCTATAAGTACCACTGAAACCACCAAATTCAATTATATTCTGTAAGTTGCATCTAATAGGGATAAGAAAAAAGGACAAAGGAAAATGCATGGAGAATTGTGAGGGAAGGGACTGATGACTATGTTTGGTTTTTGCAGGAATGGCGAGGGAGAGCAATAATGTGCAATTAAAAATGAAGCTGGGGGGAATAATACAGCAGGACAATACAGAGATTTGAATGATGGCATAATGATGAGAATGATGATAGAGAAATAAATGATGAGAGTTGATAGAGGAAACGTTAAGTTTAATTTTTGAGTAAGATATTTTAAGTCTCTCAAGTCATTCTTATTATTTCCTCATTTTGTTTTTCTTTTTACATTTTTGACTTTTATTTTAATTCTCGTGTTTATTACTAATATTTTTCTATGAACTGCATCTTATGTATGAAAAGTGCTAGCGTATGTATGCGTCACATCCGGAACAAAGAGGCAAACAGGCAGATTAAAGTGAGTCAGTGAGTTTATTAAGAGGAACTGAGGAGCAGCTTCCAACATAAATGAAGTAAACTGAGGAAATAATGGAAGCAGAGAACACAGTCTTATCTGAGGTCGACACTCTTGTCCATAGGCAGAGAACTGAGGAATCCTAGGCTTGACAGGCGGCTAGGTAGGCAAGGAACCTGTGCTGAGATGCTTGTAACCTTGAGACCAGCCGACGAGTGAGGTGAGTGTGTATTTGACTGGTGTGGCAAGTGGGTGCAGGTGTCCGTGATTAGTAATCAGGTGATTGTGAGCGGGTGTAGGAGGCTGATTTGGCTGGTGAGGCAGGTGTTTCCGTGACAGTATGTGTGTATTTATAATATTTTTCTATTTTATGTATTGATCTGTGGAGCACTTTAAAATGCATATTGCGCATGAAAGTGCTATTTATTGATTTATTTAAAGACTAGTGCAACTCTGTGGGCATCCAAAACTAGCATGAAAGTGTACAAAACATGCCTTATACTGGTCAATATACAGATCAAGAGGGTTTTATTTGTCATTTTCACCAGCTAAACAAACACATCTTATATACTTTTGGTGCTTATATTTGTATTTTTGCCCTTTCAGTACCCTAAGAATGCTTTTATTCTGCCTTGTCTATCCAAACAGCAAGACAAATGCTGCAACCTCTCACACATATACCTCAAAAACACACACACCTCTTCTCACAAGAGCACAAACCCACCCCTTCCACCATTACCAACAGCACTCAGCCACATGTTTTGCTGCTGGGCCTCTGAAACCTGCGATGAGCACCTGCACATCCGGCACACTGTGCCTGCTTTAAACACCATCAGTGCACCATTCAACTATTAGAACCTTTAGCTTTTTATCTGAATAAATCATTAAAATACTTCAAAGTATTCTGTCTGTGGCAAAACTTCTACATGCATATAGTTTCTCTACAGCTTGTGGAGTCCATGCCTCATATATATATATATAATTCTTTTTTCAAAAGCTGATCACTTCATTTTGTTGTGGCCACAGACTGTACATGATTAATCTCAAGTCTCAAGCAGGTCACAATTACTACGTTTTCATTGTTTCATTGTTGTGGTGTTTATGTGAGACCTACGCTGACAAATGAAACAGAACTGAATGCAAATTATTTACAAGATGTTATGATAACAGCCTGTGTGATTTTGAGGATATTTAGAAAAATGTCTGAAAATAAGTTTATTTTTCTATTTTATGTTATGCAGAAAAAAAATAAAGTCATACAGGTTTGAAAGGATATGAGGGTGAGTACAACAGAAAGTAATACATGTTTGAAATGACATGAGGGTGAGTAGATGACAGATGATTCATTTTTGTGTGAACTATCCCTTTAAATGAAAGTCACACTGGTAGTAATTTGAATTTAACCTATGGAAAATAACTGTACTACATAGTGGATTCAGTTGCTGAATGTGTTTTAGGAGAGCACATTTAGAGAATGTGTTTCAGAAGAAAAATTTCTCTGCTTGTTTCTCTCATTTCATCTGTTTTGCCCAGGCTTGAAAGGCTGCTTGTTTTCTGAAAAAACAAGCAATTTTACCAGAACCTCACTGCTCACATTTCCTGCCTCTCTCCCAGGCGGCGGCGGAGAGCTTGCGTAAGAAGCCGTGGGAGTGACAGTCTATGATTGTTCAGTTCCTGAGAATAATGGATGGTCTGATGGCGCATCCCCAAACGAAAAAGAGAAAAGAAGAGTCACAAACAGTAGTCCATTATTAGCCTGCGAACACCAACCGTGCAAGTGTGTGTGTTTAGAGGTTAAATGCGATGCACAATGATGGTGCTGTGCCAGTGCTAATCTGAAAAATAGTCAGACAAAAATAAATTCTAGGTCAAATAGAGGGAAGATATAAGACTACAGTGTCTTGGGTTACAGCAGCTTCTCCCACGCACTGCCTCAAGGTCAGTTGACAGATAGGAAGCTGTCCAGCAATTCAGAGTGCAGAAGAATAACTTCTGTTTCACATGAAATGAAACTATTTCCTGTATAAGTGGTTTAACTGTTCAAACTGCTTAAAGGATTTAAATGTAGGACAGTGATTGTTCTTAGTTTGCCTCTGTCAGTTTGTAAAAGCCATTTTAGTAATTTATGATGAATTTAGCATATACTGAGCCATTTTAGATCTTTAGATTTTAGATTTCCATGTTTTGTTCAGGGTGCAGAATGCAATCTCAGTGTTGTTGTGTTTGATCTTTTTCAAGTAACCCAATCGGCTCACACGGCCAAACCTCTCAACCATAACCAAACGTGTGTGTGTGCTTACCTTGACACTGCTATCAATGTACATTCCTCAGATTATTTCATGCATGAGTTTTTTTATGTTCCATGTGGGCCAATTTTTTGGGAAAAGATACGTATTAAGTTTCAGATACTTTTTTGTGGTCACATCAAATTAATTTCACACTGTAAAAAAATTATAACTGTAAATGGTTGAACATTGCATTATATGTCATGTTACTGTAAAATAAGTTTTTTTGCAGGTAAAAATATGAATTGCCATATTAATTTACGGTAAAAAAAAACAGTAAAAAGACAGTCCCTGCATGACACAGCAAATGTGATTATATTTGATTTTAATAGTTTTGTTTCATAATTTTAGTGTCGTGTGTTACAACAGTGTTTTGTCTTTGTATGTATGACCAATATGAGTACTGGTTGTTTTAATGACAGGTTATCAGTACATTTATGGTAGAAACAGATTTTGATAGTTTAAGAAGATTGGTATATTTAGATTATATCACCTAAAGTTTGGGTAGGCAAATTTGGAGAGGCTAGCAATAGCAATGTATCTTTGAAAGCAAGATCCCACCCTCCCTGCAAATCACTCTTCAAAGCCACGCCTCCTCCAAAACACATGAATGCGCGCAGGCAGAACAGAGGCTAACCAGAGACACGATGAGGACTGAATGCAATGCTGTCAGATTACCACATGTCTCATTCACCGGTGAGAAAAGATTACTGTACGAAGCGCATACAATTACAATAATAATGCCGTCTATTCTCGCTCAATAGCGTAAATATTCTCCACAATAATGTAATGGAACGTGCTGATGACGTTTCATGTCTGTGCACACGGTGCACGGAGGTATGCAAATAAATACATAGGTTGACAGGCAGGCAGGACAGCCTATTGTATTCCTCGGACCGAGGGATATGATTGGACAAACATTTTATGGTCCTACACCTTCCATAGATGATATAAATAGCCTACATATACCGTATTGGCCCGAATATAAGACGACCCTGATTATAAGACGACCCCCCCTTTTTCCAGATGTACCTTTTGGAAAAAGGCTTTTTAAAAACCAACTCTTGTTTTTTCTCAGTAAAACACATTTTGTCTTCAATTATTTTCATATTGCATATTTTTCCTATTTTAATTTTTGTTTTGAAAGTATGGTAAAAACTGGTAAAATGTACCAACAATCACATTAAAAAAAATATACACTTTTTGATATACCAAATTTGTGCGCTATTTAAACCCGGATGATTGTAAC